TCGACTCATGTATCGGTCCTCAAGAGTGTTTGAAAAATTGCTTTCGAAAGCTTTTTTGAAAATGTGTTGGTGTGAAAAGTATTTTTGATTTGAAATTAGAGCAAGTATCTAGAGTCGTCTACCTACCCTAAGGAATTCGTCTGTGTAGATGTCCTTTAAGGTAGTGCCATCCCACCATTGAGAGGTAGGTAGCACCACCGTTGGAGGTGTTCGGGTCAATTCGAGGTTCGGGACATGGTGATCACCAGAGCAATGGGAAGACACCTTAGAAGCTACCCTCATGCCAGGTTCCCGGATCATGAGGATTTACTAAGACGTCCTCTACTCGACGATCACCTTTCGAGGCAAGGCAACAGTGAGGCGTACCCTAGGGGTGGTGTATGATTTTGTGTGTCATGTTCATTTGCATTTATCTTGTTCACGTCAAAGTGATCTATGCGTTTGTTTTTATTTTATCATTCATTCTTGCATGCCAATTATTAATAATTAAAAAAAATGCGAGAAAGGTAAAGTTCCTAAATTATTACAAAGGCGCGGGTCCACATCGCCAAAATAAATCCAGGACCCGATTTGACAGAAAATAAAGAAATAAAGTAAAGTGCGAAAGATAAATGTCCGAGTTTACAAGGCTTTGGGAGAGTTACATTCATATTATAAGAAATAAAATAAAATGCGCGAATTGGAATTAAAGTTGGAAGCGAGGGCGTTGGACCCTTTTTGATGAAATTAAATTATTATTTACAAATTAATTCAATTAAGGAAAAAGAAATTATTTTTTAGCTTTTTGTATTTATGGTTTTTATGTGAATTAAATGAAATTAACTAATTAACCCTAATTCTACAACTTTTATTTATTAAGAAAATATGAAAATTATCTACCATTAAACCTAATTTAATTAATGCAATTTGATTTATAAAAATAAATAATTAATTATGGTGAAAAGAAAAGAAAAAGGATAAAAATTGATACAAACCCTAATTCTACAATTTTTTGATTTATTAAGAAAAAGATACTAAAATTAAACCTAATTTAAAAAGCCAAATTAATTAAGCATATTTACTTACAAAAATATTAAAATTAAATATATTTTTAATTTTTGTCTTTTCTGATTTTTTTGTTATTTTTATATTTTTATGAAAATAATTAAATTAAAGAATTAAATTAAAAAAACTAATTAAAACAAAAATAGAAAAATATGAGAAAAAGAATTAGAAAGGCAAACCATGGGGGGGTCTGTCCCCAAATTGGAGGGTTTGTTGTAGCAATTATGGCCCAAATATCCTTGGCCTTATTGACTTTCCAGGGTAGCGTGCATAGGCGTTGACTCACGTCCATGGTATTCACTAGATCTGGGCCTTCAGATCGTCTCCATTGGCCAAGTGGCAGGGTTAGATCAGGGGTTGTATGGTGGAACCCTGGAGGCGAACTACACACAAGCATGTTTATAAAAATAATATGGAAAGGGATGGGGGACCTGGGGTTCGAACCCAGGTCCCAGGGGTTACCAGTAATACGCTTTGCCAACTGCTCCACACGCGCGTTTTGATTATATAATAATAAACAAATAATATAAGAGAAAATAAGAGTTAATGGACAATTCAGCGCGAAAATTCAAATCACCCTATCATGTCCTGCCACATAATCATCTTCTTCCTCGTTTTTGTTTTTTCCCTGAAACATGAAAAGGTTAGCGGGGGTTTTAACCCCCCTCAAAATATGCTTGTTTTCAAAATAGCGATTAGGCCGTCTTGGAGTATAAATTAGGCGCGACTATGGCAATTAATTCGTCCAAGCTTCCTGAATCCAAACATGGCACTGAGGTTCTCTAATTTTACAGTATTTAGAAACGCCCAAATTAGAACTTGAAGAACCCTAATAATCGTTCATGGCAATTCTTCATACAATGCATAAAAACTCAATTCAATCATATGGTTAGTTCCAGAATCATCCAATTAATACAAATCAAGAACAAAAATGCATGGATATGGTCTAAATAACAAAGCACGATTATGCAAAAAGAGTGATACAGTTTGACTTTGAATTACCAATTCTTGATGTTAGGGATAAGGAAAACTATTCAGTTAGCTTCAGTAACACTTTTGCAAGCTATTGGGATTAATCTTGGCCTCTGAATCGTCCTCTAAGACCACTTTCAGTTTTCAAATTTTTGATAAAAAAATCAAACTTTGTTATGGAGTTCTGGCGCAGCTTTGTGGTCATGAACATTAGGGTTGGCATTGGTATATATGTGTGAATGATTAGGGTAAAAAATCTGAGCCAAAGGATCCATGAATTGATGAGAAAATATTTGATTTTCCATGCCATAATTTTCCAATCTTTTCATGCATATTTGCTACCAAATCATGTTCAATCACCATAATTCTTTCCAAATCTGATCATGCACGAAATCTTAAGCCTATTCCATGCACAAAAAGATTTAAAAAATTAGGTTTAGTATTTTTCATATATTTTAATTAATTAAATGAATATTTAGCAATTAAAAATTCAAATAAATAAATAAAAATGATAAAAAACTTCCCTTTGAGCCAAATGGTCTTGCACATGCTTTAGATAATGATTCTTGAAAGAAAAAGAGGCCCATTAGCATTTTTAAGACATTTGAAGCAATGTTGACATTTCAAAATATCCAAAAATTTCCCAACTTCCACAAGGCATATCTTGCTCAATTTTTAACATTTGCTCATGTTCTTGGACATTTTGGAAAGGTATTTGAGTCCTCTAACCAATACCTTTGGTCCCATGTCATTTTGATTTACCAATCTCAAGTTATGGCCTTTGACTTAAAGTCCCTTTTTGTTGACTTTTGAAAATGACCTATAATGTTGAAATTGATAACTTTTTGTGAGAGCATTTCTTGGACTTGAAGTGTGAAGAGGAGTTGTAGGAAATGTCTTGCTCTTCAAAATGAGCTTTGGATGGAATTTTTCTGATAATCCATGTGGAAGTTATACCTTGGTCAAGTTACAGTTGACTTTTTCAACTGTCCAAATATGGAAACTTTTGCATCTTGAGACTTTTTGAGCCAAGCTTTGAGAATCATGATCAAGCATTGATCAAATGATGTTTGTGGCTTCAAAATGAGATGTTGACCAAAAATTTAAACTTTTGACTGTCAAATGACCATTTTGCCCCTGCAGTTGACTGTAGTGTAATTAGGGTTTTTGACTGTGCAATTTTGTGCTGTGAGTCTTGAAACTTGACATGAGGATGCTTGACCATGTTTGTAGGCATGTGGGACTTGATTGGACCCTTGGAAACTTCAATTTCTTTGTCAGAACCAAAATCCTAATCTTTGACTGTTAGGAGGCCCTTGAACTATGCAACCCTTGGAGAGATTTTGAAGCTTTGACTTGGCAAATTTTGAAGAATATGGGAGGGCAAATTTTGGGGTACAACACCAGCACACCCGCATACCCCACACACAATTTCAGTCTTCCGTATATCCCAATATGGGCCCCTCAACATCCAGCCTTAGCCCTGATATGGGAATGTCAGAAGATTACGAACAAACCGACCCAACCTACCATCAACCAGAATATCACTAAACCACCCAACATCCTCAATACCAAACACCCCAAGATCCATTTCCTTTCTACCCACCGTACTCAGACGATCAATGCTACAGACCCACCATGGAACCCCACCCACCGCCAACACGACCAAACTTTGAAGGTATGGGTAACCGACTGTACCAAAGCGGATCTTCTAGATATGGAGATCTGACTGATTTTATGGATCCGGACCGCATTGACTTTGCTGGGCCATCGACCCTACCGCAGCAGAAAACGCGACGACACCCAGCACGAGAAAGACGAGGACGGGGATGCGGAACCGGGGGTCATTACCGGATTCTGAGGGATCACTGACTTATCTGTTTTTTTTCCTGTATTTTTTTATCCGTTTTTTTAATCTGTTTTTTTTATCTGTTATTTTAATGTAATACAGTTGGATGTAATTATTTTTTTATAATAAAAAGTCCATTTTGTTGATCCTGTATCCAACACGCAACGCACCGGACAAAAAAAAAATAAATCAAATTTTGCCATAAAATAACACCTAGGCGCCATCTCACTTGGCTTAGGGCATGCCCTAAGCACATAGACGCCAAGTGAGATGACGCCTCCCCTTAAACAATGGGTGCATGCGCCAATTCAGATGGCTCCTCCTTTGAAAAGTTATCTGAAACATGATTATTTGCGAATTTTTTTTTAATAGATAGTTATTAAAAAAAATTCTAATTAATCTCTATTACATCTAATATATAATAATTGGTGGGACAAATTAAACTTATATACGCTTTAAATTTTCTAAATGTAACGTCTTCAACACTCATCTTTATTCTGGTCTTGCAACATATTTTCAACAATCACAACTGAATTGTGGTATGTAATAATAGACTATACATCTTGTTTATCCATTCGTATGAATATAAGATAATATTTAATTTAATAATAATTATACAAAATTTTATTGTTATAATAAACTTTTTATTGAATATTTTATTAACATTATGTAAATATAAAAATTAATAAATAAAACATAAAAAATAATTTCAAAATCAAAAAAAAAAAACAATAAATAAAACAACAAAAAATTAATGTTGAGTGTAGAAAAAACAATGAAAAGCAAACTGAAACAATAACACACTAATCCTAGTGAGTCTCATGTAGAAGTAGTAGGTTTCTTTATCATTTTATATTAAAATTGCTATAACATCAAATAGAGTGGTCTGCATCTGTCACGAACAGTAAGAATGAGTGAGTGAGACTTTGATTTAATGGGAGGGTCACGCATCTGTCACACTACAGTATTCTATTGTATAAGAAGTTAAGGAAAAAAAAAGTAGAACTCTCTTATCTTTCTTGAGATGCATAAGAAGAAAAGAAAATAAGAATTATATATTGTGTCCAACCAAAGAAATAACACGTTTCTTCTGTAATTCTCTCTTCCACCTCTCTCTCGTCTTTACCTCTTCAAAATGGTGAATTTGAAAAGAAAACATGTTGTTGGAGATACTAGTGAAAGCAGTGATAATGATAGCATCAACAATGAATTTTGCATGCAAACTTCTGATATTCAAACTTCTCAACATCAAGTAGATCACCATCCTCTTGGATGGATCTCAAGAGCTGAGAAATGCTTCAAAGTTGGTTCATTAATATAATCTTTTTCCTTGTAGTTGTTAAAATCATTTTCTTCAATGTTGTTAGAATCTAATTTCCTTTTGCGTTTGTTATTTTTATAATAGAAACAAATGCATAAAAAGATGAATGAGCTTGAAAAGCATAAAGAGATGCAACAAAATCTGGACTTTGAGGTTGAACAACTAAAAACATCATTGAACGTATTGAAGAGCTTCCAAGATGATGATGATGAGCTAGACTTGGAGTTTTTCAACAAGTTTAATGCTATGAAGAATGATCTTATAAAAAAAGAAGCATTGATTGAAGAACTAGAATCTCTGACTCAAGTTCTCACTGTTAAAGAGCACGAAATGAACTATGAGCTGCAGAAAGCTCGAAAAACCTTGATTAGTGTAAGTTGTTTGCTAACTTAGTTTAAAATGTTACCCGTTAAATAAGAGGATGTGTACTCTATGTAGTTAAATTTTATTGTTCAGATTTTTTTTTTTATGGTTCAGAAAGTGGCTTGTGGGAAAAAAGTGGAATTTTAACTTGATTTTTTAATGGTGAAGACAACATGTGCTTGTATGGATGCTCTTTGGTTATGTCTATATTCTCTGCATGTTTGTCATTTAGGAATTTTTATATGGAAACAATTCTATATCAATATTTTTAGAAACAACTAATAGGAATAGATTTTTTTTTAATTTCTTTATATTTTAATTAGATTTATGGGGTAATTGTGATTACGAATGAGTGAGTAAATATTATATTTATTTTTTAATTAATTAAAAATTTGTGATTGATTGTGTATAGAAATGGAGTATTTCTTATTGACTCCACTTTTTCAAAATTTCAACTAATGATTAAAGAACTGGTGTACATTTTTCTGGCAAATATTGCTTATGAGATGTCTGGTATAGCATTTTAATGTTATTCTCGCATATTGCCAAGCTGAAATTCCTAACATTTTTTCACATGCTTAGAAAATCTAATAACATAACGCTTTTTCCTGCCTCGTAGGGCATTGAGGAGTTATCTGTTCCAGCCACTATTGCTGTGAAGAGAATGGGGGAGCTTGACAGCGAGCCATTCCTCGATGCTATGTTAAAAAAATATAAAGAGGAGGAAGCTGAAGTTAGAGCTGCGAACTTGTGTTCGTTGTGGGAATTCTATATGAAAGACCCAGACTGGCACCCATTCATATTTGTCACCGTTGATGGCGAGAAAAAGGTACATTTTAGTTTAATTTATACACGCCGTTCTCTTGCTTCATTTAGTATCATTTTTCATTTCAGGAAATTATTGATGCTGCGGATAAAAAGCTGAATGGGCTCAAGAGAAGCGTTGGTAAAGCGGCATATAATGCGGTGGTGGCAGCTCTAACAGAGTTAAATGAATACAATCCTAGTGGGCGATATGTAACCTCAGAATTGTGGAACAATGCTGAGGACAGAAGAGCAACTCTGCAAGAAGGGATACAATTTCTGTTGGACAACTCATCAAACAAACGCGAGAGGGGAAAAGCTACCATGGGAAGGTTTGTATTTTAGTTATAATAATCTATACACTGCATTTCCTATCAACAAGTTACATGTGATTTCTACTTCTAGTATATATTTGGAGTCTCTCATATATGATTACTGCTTCTGTTTTAATTACCAGCCATGCTAATACAGTTTGAATTACAGGAAGGGTGAATGATGATTAAAGAGAAGAAGAAACTCAAGAAAGTGCTTAGTTAAGGAAGAATTTCTTTTGCGTCCAAGTTGAGTAATTTGTTGCTGGTTAGACCTTTTGTTTAATATAGATTGCTTAAGGAGTTTGTGATAACGTTTAACTACTTAATTTCAACTGCAAAACTATTATCAGCTTTTGTAAAATATATATATATATATATAATATATCTAGCGTGGGAGAATCAAACTGTTGTTAGCAACTTTTGTATTATCTATCTCTAGCATGCAAAATTATGACTACAATTATCTTAGCATGTTCTAATTCTTAGTAATGAGCATTGTGTTTTTATAATAGTAGAGGAATAATGAGAGAATAATGACGATAAGTAGCCGGTGAAAAGGTGCACCGTTTGATGATGGAAAGCTATCTTTAATTGTTATTGTATTTAGAGTCTTCTAGGTATAAAGTAAAACTATCAGTTATGATGCTATGTCTACTGGTAATTAAGCCCACACATAAGCAGATATTTCATGTTGAATTACTTGGATAGTAAAGAGCTAATTAATTGTAGTATTATGTTGCATTCTCTTTAATTGGTGGAATTGTGCTATTTCCAGTTTATTGTTGTGTTCACTCTGCAAGGTGATGGAACTTCCCTTGTTGGTAAGACTTTATAGTCATTGCAACATAGTCCCTTGCACTCATTGATTGACAATTCCCAACTAGTACTTTGAAAAGTGGTGCTGGCTCGATTGGAAGTTTCAAAACCTTTGTAATCCTTGGTTGTGAGAAATGATTAGAGCTTCCATCATCAATAAAAATTTGGATTGTAATACAATTACAAATCCAATACCATTACACCCTTTTAGAGCAATTAATGATAAATGGTGCTCTTCATGCTGAATCATGATTGTTAGATAATATAATTCATATTTTGTCGAAATGTCTGTGTATAAGTAGTATGTCGAAATAACTAGTTTTGAATAGGTTGTCAGTTGTATTCGACAGAGTCAAATAAAACAGTTATTGTAGTTTGTCGAAACTCTATTTTTGGGCATGGGCTTTGCAAGCCTATATAAAGAGCTGCTTAGTTTGTAACAAACAATGCAATCATAATTCCATTTTACAATTCAGTTAGAATCAATAACAAACTTTCAAATCTCTCCCTTCTCTCTCTTCTTCTTCTTCTTCATTTATGAATCATTTTTCTTGAAAACCCTTTGTTGAAATCTTGAATGATGGAGTATCAGAACTGGAAGCAATGGCGACGAATGCTCAGAAAGTTGTGCGCAAAGATCAAAGGAAGAAAGATGGTACAACATTATTCTTGATTCATCAGTGTGTGGATTCTGATGTATTTGAGAAGATAATTGAAGAAAAAACGACAAAAGGAGCGTGGGACAAGTTAAATAACTTGTATGGTGGAGATGAGAAATTGAAGAAGGTGAATTTGTAGACATTGAGGAAGCAATACGAGATGATTCAAATGAAAGAAGATGAATCAATCTATGCATATTTCTCAAGAATTGTGACACTAACAAATCAGATGAAGGCATGTGGTGAATCGGTTACGGATCTTCAGAAGATTGAGAAAATGTTGAGATCTTTGACTGCAGATTTTGACTACATAGTAGTGACAATTGAAGAGGCCAAGACTCTATCTGAGATGAAGTTAGAAGAACTTCAAACTTCATTAGAGGCTCATGAGATGAAGTTGAAGCAGAGAAACTCAGAAAGAGAGAAGGTAATTAAACAAACATTACAATCAAGATTCAGCAAAAAAGCTGGAAAAGAGAAGTCGAAGCAACGAAAGAATCTTGTCGGTGATGAGAAGTCAAGCAAGAATACTGATTCAATCAAGAAAGGTGTGGGCAACAAGTATTTTAGGAAGAAAGTTGACACGAAAGAGGTGCAATGTTACAACTGTCAAGGTTTCGGTCATTATGCTTGAGACTATCGAAGAAAGAAAGCAGCGAGGGCGAAAGATAGTGATGAATTTTAATATGCACGAGCTGAAGATAGTGATCCTGATGATGTGGTGTTAATGTTCAACACTCAGTCGAACACTGACAAAAATAACATGTGGTATCTTGATTCTGGATGCAGCAACCACATGACTGGCAATAAAAACTTGTTTACCAAGTTAGATGATTCGGTCGAAAAGGTGATAAAGTTTGCAGATGGAAGACACATCAAATAAGGTGGTAAAGGAGATATTTCGATTGTCAGAAAGGATGGTCGAAAGGCCACCATCACTGAGGTATTGTATGTACCTTCTGAAATAATCGGCCGAATCGTCATCTGATAATAAAATCAATGAAGTCGCCACCGAACGTCTTTTATCCCGCCGAAAGGGAAAGGTTAACATCGAGAAAACTTGAAGAGGGTGAAATCACGGTCTTGCGACCGAGAGATCGGGTAAGGGAGTCTGTTACGCGAGGGGAAATGTTGTACCCCAAAATTTGCCCTCCCATATTTCTCAATACATTTCAAGTGAGGTCCTCAAATTGCTCAAGGAAGTCCAAGAGTTGACCAGACAAGCTCTCTCTTAAGGCAGTCTACTTCAAATTAGGGTTTCATGTTGCATTAAGATACTTGAATCCAAGGGATCCCAAATTCTCACCATTGTCCTAATATGTTCTCATGATCATCCATGTCAAGTTTCAAGCCTTGTAGAGGAAGTTTGCTCAGTCAATTGCTCAAAGGCCTGAAAATCGACTATGTTAGGGCAAAAGTCAACTGTGGCCCACATACAGTCAAACTTCAAGATTTTTGGTCAACATCCTCATTTTGAAGTATTATTCATCATTTGATCAAGGGTTGATCATGATTCATCAAGGATTGCTCACAATTCATCAAAACTCAAAAGTTGTTAAATTAGGGTTTTACAGGAAAAGTCAACTCAACTTTGACCAAGCATAACGTTCTCATACTTTATGAGAAATGACCCATCCAAAGCTCATTTTTAAGAGGATGCAATTCCCTACAATTCATCTTCAGCTCCCAAGTTTAAAATATGCACTCATAAGAAGTTACAAATTTGGACATTATATGACATTTTGAAAAGTCAACAAAAACACCTTTTTTGTCAAAGCTTCATACATGAATATGGAATACCAAATTGAGATGAGACAAAAGGGTTGCTTATAGGACATCTCAAGCTTTCTAAAAAGTCCAAGAACACCTTCAAAGAGTCAAAATTGAGGAAGTTATGCCTTGGTGAAGTTGACCTTTTTTGCAAAATTGTCAAAAGTCAAAAGTGCCTCAAATTGCAATTTTTGCTAAATGGGCCTAACTTTTTGCACTTGTTTTGAGTTGATAGCATGGTCCACGAGTTCTAGCTCTTCCCACTTGTCTTTATCTTATTTTTATTATTTATTTTGATTTTGATTTGAATTAAATCAATTTAAATCAAAACAAATTATAGAAAATCCAAATCATTGAAACCTCAAGATATTGTGCATGTTTCAGGTTCTATATCCAGCTAGCAAAAGATTGAAACCTTGCAAAGCCTTTGTGTGCACAAAAAGATTGGTTTTGACCTATTTTTAGAAAGATCTTCAAGTGAATCAAATCCAAATCAAAAGCTATAATGGAGGAAGATTGAGAGTATAATTTTAAATCTAATTCATTCCTCAGTATATAATATATAATTGCAGACCTAAAAGACAAGGCTAGAGAGGCGCACAAAGTCAGAACAAACTTGAAAAAATCAAAGAAAAGTGGTGATTCGATTTTGTACTTCCAGTCACTTTCAAGGTCCCCTAACCATCTCATTCGATTCCTGGGATTGCAAGGAGGTTGTACCAATCAAGAACAAGGAGTTTCCAGCACCAAAACCCACTGTAAGTCAGCCACGACTTTGGTTTATTTTTTAAATCGAATTGCATAATTTTGGCATCTATAGCATGAAATAATTATATATTCTTGCTCCTTGAAACATTTCCAAACTATCCATAACATTTAATTTCATTTTTGTGGACTGTATCAAGATTTGCCATTGTTAGGGTTCTTGGTCTCGTTTTAGGGTTTTTGTGTGCAGGCAAAATTAGCCCCCATGAAGGGTATCATGATGCTCAGAATGCCAAGACGGTTCGATTCATGGCATTAGAAGTCATTTATCATGTCCAGGGAAGGTTTTGAAATAAGCCAGGGTTATAGTGACAGACACACGTCCGTAGGTAAAAGTTTATGACTTTTACCAACAGAGCGAGGTCAGGGATGACTGGCGTATCACCATCTCATTCGTTGATTTGAATTCTGGCGCTTTTTTTCCACTAACTTGCATATATTATATATTATCATTTATTATTATCATATGTACAAAGCAAGCTTGCAGCACAGTTGGCATTTGAGTGTTTGGAAAAGGTTTCAGGACGTGGGTTCGAATCCCAGGTCCCCCCATATTTCATGTTATTTTGCTTTAATTGATCAGGCGTGCACACAAGGCAATGGATCACCATGTTCCCTCGGGATCCAGCCATTGGATCTCCAAATGGCCAGATCTAAAGGCCATCATATGAAGGACCATCATAGGCTTCAGTCAACGCATAGTTGGGAATCTGGCAAGTCAACGTGGATCAAGTTCTCTTGAGCCCAGAATCTACTTTTGACACCCTCCAAAATTGCTTTCTCAGGCCCAATATCTCTTTTCTCTATTCTTTTTATATTTTCTTTTTCTTTATTTATTCATTTAAATTATTTTTACTAACAAATTAATTTTCCTTTTTATCAAAAAATCATAAAAATAATATATTTTTTACCCAATTAGATTTAGGATTTTTTTTTAATTTTTTTTATACAAAGATTAATTGAATTAGGTTATTTAATTTTAGGTAACTTAAATTATTTTGTAAATAAATTAAAAACAATTAGAACAATTAGGGTTTTGTTTCTAATTTAATTCTATTTTCTTTTTCTTAAAATAACCAAAAACACAAAATTAAGTTAAATTTAGTCATTTTCTTTAATTAATTTAATTACTAATTAATTTTGTATTTAATTTAAAAACCTTGTTCTTTTTT